TGCCCTGCCCTACAGGCAGCTGTAGAGTTCAGAATGTTAATATGGCAATGCAAGCTACTATATAGTTCAGAAAGTAAGTTCAGCATGCTAAAGTTCTTTTCAAACTTGTTTACTCAATGAAATTTATAGCAAGAGTTCTTACAATGGTTCAGTTGTCTTCATGCATTTACAGAACATACAAATTAGCTATTATTGGTACAAAAAGCTGCTGTTTATCTAAGTGGAGTGTTTTTTTCAAATAAGCTGTTTAAGATGTTATAATTAAGATGGTGCTATTTCAGATTTAAAATGGTAATGTAAATGTTTTTTGTTGGTGAAATGAACTGTGAAGTTTTTTAATACCATTTGAAAAACAAAGTTATCTACACATAATAATTGTAATGTCATTTGTACACATGGCTATACAAAACAAAGAAACCATGTTTTTACAGCACTCAATTAGAAACAGAATTGACTTCAGCCATCTGTTACTAAAATCTCTAATTTTTATTACTTCAGAGTCTCTCTAGTGTTGCCCAACTTGTAGTTTTCTTGTTAAGTACAGTGGACTAAATTGTATAGATGAATATTGATGCTGATAACATAGCCAAGCAAAACATCTATGTAGTTGGTATTTTAATAACTAAACAGGCACAAGGCAATGCATTATTGTATGTCAAACCACCTCATTCATTTGCATCTTATTTTTTTTAAGAGGAGGCAAGTAGGATCACATAGCTACACTGAATTTCCATTGAGCTTTCCTGATAACAATAATGGGCACCGATATGGAGCAACTTACACAACTCTGAAATTGCCAGAATAAGTGTAATGGGCAATCTCTTATTTGACCCTGCCTTCAAAAATTACACTGATTTAGAGCTAGGTTCTGCATTCTGCCAAAGGAAAGAAGCTTCCAAGAGAGGAAGGACTCTTCCTGTGGAAGGACCTCCCACCCAATTTGGGGGTGGGCATCCATTTCTCCCCATATGTACCACATTCAGCATAGTCTCCTGATTCTCTGCATATTATTTTCAAGGGCCAGTAGAGGTTACTTGAGAAGATAGGAAGGGAAAGTTGACTTCTGTCAATGCTATTGAGCCAACTTAAAGCTGGATCCAAATTGTTATGCAGCACTGTATAACTAAAGGACTTTTCCCTGAAGCCAGCATGGCAGTGCTATTTGGCATCTGTTACTGCAGTTGTTACCCCATCCCTGATAAAGCAGGGAAAGCTCCATAAAAGCAAGATCTCGTGTAACTGAATCAGTCCAGTGCTACTGTAGAGTGTAAGGCCCAGGTGTAAGAAATGTTGGTACTTGCTATGTATGCTAGTCACAAAGTTGCATCTGACCCATCGCGACCCCATGGACATTTCTCCAGGCTCTCCTGTCCTCCACCATCCCCCATAGTCCACCTAAGCTCACACCAACTGCTTCAGTGACTCCATCTAGCCACCTCATTCTCTCCCATCCCCTTCTTCTTTTGCCATCTATTGCTCCCAGCATTAGGGTCTTCTCCAGGAAGTCCTTCCTTCTCATTAGGTGGCCAAAGTATTTGAGTTTCATCTTCAGTATCTGGCCTTCTAAAGAGAGGTCAGGATTGATATCCTCTCAGACTGACTGGGTTGATCTCTTTGCAGTCCAAGGAACTTGCAGGAGTCTCCTCCAGCACCACAATTCAAAGGCCTCAATTTTTTGGCGCTCAGCCTTCATTATGGTCCAGCTTTCACAGCCAAACATTGCAACTGGGGAAACCATAGCCTTGACTATATGCACTTATGTCGGCAGGGTGATGTCACTGCTTTTTAGTATGCTGTCTAGATTTGCCATAGCTTTCCTACCAAGGAACAAGCGTCTTTTAATGTCTTGGCTACAGTCACCATCTGCAGTGATCTTGGAGCCCAGGAAAATAAAATCTGTCACTACCTCCATTTCTTCCCCATCTATTTGCCAGGAAATGATAGGACCAGATGCCATGATCTTAGTTTTCTTAATGTTGAGTTTCAAGCCAATTTTTGAACTCTCCTCTTTCACCCACATCAAGAGGCTCTTTAGTTCCTCTTCACTTTCTGCCATGAGAGTGGTATCATCTGCATATCTGAGGTTGTTGATATTTCTCCCAGCAATCTTAATTCCAACTTGTGATTCATCTAGCTAGCTTTCCCTAGCTTTCTCCATGATCCAGCGTATGTTGGCAATTTGATCTCTAGTTCCACTGCCTCTTCGAAACCCTGCCTGTACTTCTGGTAGTTCTCGGTTCACATACTGCTGGAGCCTAGCTTGTAGGATTTTGAGCATAACTTTGCTAGCATGTGAAATGAGTGCAATGGTGCAGCAGTTTGAACATTCTTTGGCATTGCCCTTCTTTGGAATTGGAATGTAAACTGACCTTTTCAAATCTTGTGATCACTGTTGAGTTTTCCAAATTTGCTGGCATATAGAGTGCAGCCCTTTACTGCATCGTCTTTTAGGATTTTGAATAGCTCAGCTGGAATACTGTCACCTCCACTAGCTTTTGTTGCTCAGACTTTCTAAGACCCACTTCACATTCCAGGATGCCTGGCTCGAGGTCAGCAACCACCCCATCGTGGTTATCAGGGATGTTAAGTTCTTTCCTATACAGTTCTACTGTGTAATCTTCCCACCTCTTCTTAATCTCTTCTGCCTCTGTTAGGTCCCTGCCATTTTGGTCCTTTATCATGACCATCTTTGCATGAAACATTCCCTTCATATCTCCAATATTCTTGAAGAGATCTCTAGTCTTCCCTATTCTATTGTTTTCTTCTATTTCTTTACACTATTCATTTAAGAAGGCATTCTTATCTCTTCTAGCTATTCTTTGGAATTCTGTATTCAATTGGGTGTATCTTTCCCTTTCTCCCTTGCCTTTTGCTTCCTTTCTTTCCTCAGCTATTTGTAAAGCTTCCTCAAACAGCCATTTTGCTTTCTTGCGTTTCTTTTTCTTTGGGATGGATTTAGATGCAACCTCTTGTACAATGTTGTGAACCTCCATCCTTAGTTCTTCAGGCACTCTGTCTATCAGACAAATAGTAAATCTATTTGTCATCTCTACTGTATATTCATCAGGAATATGATTTAGGTCATACCTGAGTAGCCTCATACTTTTCCCTACTTTCTTCAATTTAAGCCTAAATTTTGCAACAAGAAACTCATGATCTGAGCCACAGTCAGCTCCTGGTCTTGTTTTTACTGACTGTATAGAGCATCTTCATCTTTGGCTGCAGAGCACATAGTCAATCTGATTTCTGTGTTGACCATCTGGTGAAGTCCATGTGTACAGTCATCTCTTGGGTTGGTGGAAAAGAGTGTTTGCTATGACCATCATATTCTCTTGAAAAAATTCTGCCAGCCTTTGCCCTTCTTCATTTTGTACTCCAAGGCCAAACTTGTCTGTTATTCCAGTTATCTTTTGGCTTCCTACTTTAGCATTCCAATCCCCCATGATAAGGACATCATTTTTTGTTGTTATTTCTCGAATGTGTTGTAGGCCTTCACAGAGCCGGTCAACTTCAGTCTCTTCAGCATCAGTGGTTGGGGCATAGACTTGGACTGCTGTGATGTTGAATGGTTTGCCTTGGATTCGAACTGAGATCATTATGTCATTTTGGAGATTGTATCCCAGTACTGCTTTTCCTACTCTTTTATTGACTATGAAGGCCACTCCATTTCTTCTGAGAGATTCTTGCCCGCAGTAGTATACCTGATGGTCATCTAAATTAAATTCACCCATTCCTGTTAATTTTAGTTCGCTAACATCCCAAGATGTCGATGTTCAGTCTTGTCATCTCATGTTTGACCAGCTTACCTTGATTCATAGATCTTACATTCCAGGTTCCTATGCTGTAATGTTCTTTGCAACATCTGACTTTTCTTTCACCACCAGAACATCTGCAACTGAGTGTCCTTTCAGCTTTGATCCAGTCACTTCATTCTTTCTGGCGCTACTAGTATTAGCCCTCTGCTCTTCCCCAGTAGCACACTGGACACCTTCCAACCTGAGGGGCTCATCTTCCAGCGTCATATCTCTTTGCCTGTTGATACTGTCCATGGGGTTTTCATGGCAAGGATACTGGAGTGGGTTGCCATTTTCCTCTCCAGTGGATCACCTTTTGTCAGAGCTCTTTACTATGACCTGACCGTCTTGGGTGCCCCTGCATGGCATAGCTCATAGCTTCATTGAGCTACACAAGCCCCTTCACCACGTCAAGGCAGTGATCCCTGAAGGGGTGGTACTTGACTGAATTTGAAACACTCATATATAAATTTAGCATTTAAAAAGCAGTCACCAACAAACATTTCATGTCAATGTTAACATACAAAATATTTACTTTATAATACAGTATTTGCAATTTCATATAAAGCTCATACCTCCTACTGATGTTAGTATATTCTTTAGGCAGTTATCTAATACCTGCAGTCCACCAGTTCTAACCACATTGCTTTAGCAGGAATAACCACTAGTGCAATGGGAAAGCCGTGCTTGCAGCACAGTCTAAGAAACTACCTGAAACTACTGATCCAATAATTGGTTAAATTAGTGGAGTGCCCTTGCAAAACCTGTGTTGACTTCTCCATTCTCAAAGCAGTTGTTTTGGGTGGTTCCCAGTTACACTGGTAGGTGCTAGTTTCATTTTGCACTAGCAGTTATTCCTGCTAGTGTAGCTGCAGTATTGGATACTGTCCTTTGCATACATGCTAGTTGGTTTATGCTCTATAAAAGCAACTTAGTAAGGGATATTTTAATTCTGATTGTATCACTGATTTACCTTGCAGAAGCACAGAAGATGCTTTAGTTTTTCACAGTGTTGATGTTTGTTTTGTGTTTGTGAAGTTCTATTTATTGTTCGGGTTATGAACCTCTTGAGTAACCACAATGAGGGGGTAGAGAAATGTTATAACCTCTGCATCTGTAAGCTAGAAGATTGCCTGTTTTCCATAAAGTGGTATTAAATAATTGAATGTTTGGGTAATGCAATTTGGTGTTTGTGCCTTCACTCAGGTGGAGCCTGACAAGTTGAAGACACTAACAGAAGGTCTGGAAGCCTACAACCATGTAAGAAAGAAGAATAGAAAGTAAGTTACCTTTAGATTTACAAACACTCCATCATAGGGATGTGTATTGTCCCAGCCATGGGCTAAAGTTTTTGGGAATCCCAAGGAATAAGTATGCCAGCTCCAGGTTTGCTTAGAAGAAAATGTTATTGTTGCAACAGGCGAGTTACCAGCTAGCTATCTAAAGAGTTTAGCAGCAAGTCACATACAGTGCTTCACATGGACTAGCCTGCAAAGTAGGTTTCAATCGGCTGGAGCAGACTGTCAGCGAATCCACCTCAGAAGTATCAGTCAGAGTAGTACACAAAGGAAACGGCCAGTTTAGATAGCATTGGGTGGCAGACTGAGGCTGAGCAGCCACATGCAGCTCCTTGAGTTTGTTTTGCAGCTCATGGCTTATCGCCTTGGGCACCCAATTGCTGCTCACAATCCACTTGCGAATCACTAACCTCTGGCATTTACCATATGTGGCTCTTCAGTTGAGCAAGTCTGCCTATCCCTGGATTATGGCATAGTACAGGGGTGGCCAAACCGAGTTCTCAGCAACTGCATGCAGCTCTTTTGAGTTTATTTAGTGGCTCACCACTCACCACCCAGGGCACCTGCTTGCTGCTTGCCTCCTGCCACCACCCATGGGTGCCCACTTGCAGCTCTCAAATATCTGACATTTACTATATGTGGCTCTTCCATTGAGCAAGTCTGGCCCCCGTTATATAGGGTACGTATTTACAGCAAAGCATACATCAATCATACATCAAAGTATATTCTGGAAGCTTGATAACATTGACTAATAAGGCAGCATTGACACTTGTTATTTGCACAGGTACCAAGAAATAATTAGGTGTATCAAGCAGAAAGCCTGGTATGTAAGGAGTATCCCACCATGGCCATTCAAGGTCCCTGATCTGAGGGTCTCATCCCCGATTTGTTTGCCAAAACAATAGGATGGTCACATAAACTTATCATCCAGGAAAGCATAAGCCCATTAGCAGCATTATACATGAAAACATAACTTTTTTTAGCAGGCCTGATAAGGTGTTATGTCCAAGGATGTGAGCACAACTATGTTTTTGTCCTGACCATCTCCCCCTTGCCAAGAGGATCTCTCTGTCTTAGAAGGCAATTTAGTCTTGACCAGAGGATGATAACTGAAGTTCTACATTTTACTTAGTCTATGCAAGGTAAACCAGAGTTCAGTACTTCCCCTGTGCCAAGCAAAGCTTATACTCTGGAAGCTAGAGACCAAGTCCTGGAGTTTACAGTCCAGGCCCAACACAGGATGTTAACAATTTTTGCAGAGTATTGGTGTATGTTTGAAAGCATAATTGCTGTTTGTGGTATACACGCAACTCTTAGCTGCCCCTGGTAAATAGCATTTATAGTTTGGGTCATTGTTTTAAACCCAAAAGTGACTCTAGCAGTATGTTTGTACAACTATGAGAAGCTATGCCATTTAAAATCACTGTTAGTTTCCAGCATAAATGTCAGGATACAAATGCAATGTGATAAATAAATAATATATAAATGCAATTCATCAGAAGCAAAGGATATGGTTTTCGACAGTTCTAGGATTCCCTAGTTGCCATGGGAATTAAGTATCTGCTGTAGTTCAGAATCTGTGAAAAGGTAGAAACAAATACTCTGACTCTTAATTAATGTTTTATGGCATTACTTAAAGCTAGTAATTAAAAAACTTTTATCATTTTATGGATATTACGGACAATATGCATTTAGGATATTTTGTGTGGTTACATTATCGACACAGAAGTCACTGCTAACAAACAGTCCATGGATTTGGGGTTTCCATCTTGCAATTGCAAGCTTGTAAATGAAGAATTGATAAGTTGAGTTTAGCTGAAATTAGCAAGGATCTGTAGTCAAGAATCATACAAATAGCAGGGAGAGAGGACATAGGATAGAATAAAGCATGCTGTGAGCCAAGGAGGGACCCAAGAGCCTTCTAATGTAGAACAATGACGCTGTCTGCTTCCAGATTTGACATACAGAGATGGACATGCTCTTTCCATTAGCAGAAGAAACCTAGACCCAGTGGAGCTCCTTGCCACAGCAAGGAATGGAGCAGGTGTTTTTGCTGATTTCTCTGTCCTGCCAGGCTGTCTTGCACACGGAACTGGAGAGTCCTGCAGCCCTCCAGAGCTGAGTTTCAGGGGCTGAGGAGGCTGCAGACAGGAGAGAGAGATGGCTTTGTCTGTAGGATCTTCTAGTTCGTGGGTACACTACACACAATTCTGGATCCACCCCACTATTAGTATAAGTACTATTCATTATCCACAGGGTAAGGCACCTAAAATTGTTCAATATAAGGAGCTGTACAAAGATTTAAAGATAAGGCAGACACTTTCTGAAGGTTCATGAACAGGGGATGAAAAAGGAAAGCAAGGACTACAGCAGATCGTCTTTCAGGCAGTAAGCCAGGATGGATCCTTACTTGATGAATGGATGGAACTAGTTTGATCTAGTTTTTGATCTAGTTTTGACCTTTTGTCATGATGTTCTTCCTAATATGCAGGGGGGTGCACCTTCTAGTGGCATTTGGTTCTTTGGCCAGGAAGGGTGGCCAGAGTACAGTTTTCATCAACTGTAGTCCTAGGGCAGCACACTGTATTTCCCAAGTGCAACCAGAATCATAAAATATCATAGTGTAAAAGGCTTTGGGCTTATACCGGCGACTTCAGTTAGGAATTACATAATGTATATAGTAGATTCTGAAGTAAAGTGTTGCAAATTCTCTATATGCCCTTCGTTGGTTTATCAAAGAAGAGTATCCTTTCTGTACGCAATATGGTGCCTTCCAGATGTTTTGGAAAAGAGCTTCTAACCACTGGCTATGCTTGCTGGGACAGATGAAATTTGAAGGCCAAACATCTGTACAGAATCAGGTTGGGGAACACTGATATACATTAGGAAAGTGGGTAAAACAGCCAGTGTACATAACAGCCGGCCATTGTGCACATTGCCATGCTTTGTGGAGGCTGTGCACCTTGCCAAGTTACTATACTTGCACTTCAACGGGCCTTAGGGAAATGTGCACATCATGAGTCGGTTTTGTACATTTTGCATAATCCCCTACAGTCTTGAGAAATAAGCATATTTTGCCAGTATGTTGCGCATTGTCCGTGTAAAATACATCTGAGAATATGCATATTTATAATAAATAAATATATTATCATGAATGTCAGTAAGGACATTTTTTGGTCAGTACGAACAGCCTCCAACAAGCTTTTGACTCTTAAGTAAGACTAAATAAGAATAAATTGTTGAAAAGAATAGAGAGAAGACAAAGTTCAGAAATCAGAACATGACAACAGTACTTAGAATAAAGAAGAAATGGAAGTTCTGTCTCAAAGAAATGGGGGAATGTGCCCAAGTATTCAGAATGGAACTAATCAGTACATGTTATTTGTAGTGAACGCAATACAGAAGAAAGATATGAAAGTAGAAACAACCTTGCTGAATCAGGAGAATTTTTTTCTGAGTCCACAGTTCATCAAGTTAATGTTGATGATACACTGGGCCTTCCTGTACCAGATATTGATCAGGACAGAAAGAATGCAAGAACTTTTCTGACTGTGATCATGTCAACTGAAGATGGACAATACTATCAGCTAGGCACCATAGAGGAAAAGCTGAAATAGCTTTTCACTCAGAACCAGTTTTCAGTCTGTCCTGAAATATGTTAGTAGAAGAAGAAATAGGTTAACAGCTCCTGTTAAGCAAAGTTTGAGAGAAATGGCAAAACTGCATTCATTGTCTGGTAGGGATATCAGTGCACTACTGTAAAGCAAAGTGCTCCACCAACAAATTTAAGTGCAAGAATATGAATGTACTCTGGCCCTTAAAATGTCAGGTTTTGCAATGACAGCACATGAAGAAGTGAAGAATGTACTGAAAGTACCATTTTTTCCACTTCACCCATATGCATTTTGTTCATATAGTCCATACATACAGTTTTATTCAAAACAATTCCAAATATGAAGGCTTGTATTACGTTAAATAGCTTAGTCTTGTGTGAAATAGAACAATTGACAGATATTTCATCATTCAGATACATTTTTGAAATGACAACTTAAGAAATGTTCTCTCCACATTGGGAGTGGAAAGGTTTGTCATGACCCCCTTGGTCATCCAGCGTGCACCAGCGGATTCTGGTGAGGATGAGACATAAGCTGTTTCCTTGGGGGTAACACAGTTCGGGGGCCTCCTGGCCAGAGGACTCATCCCTGCCATCATCCGTTGTTGCCTCACAGGATGAGTCTCCAGTAGAACCTCCTCCTCTTCAGCCTTACAGAAGTCCAAGGTTATAATATCAGGTGATGGCCTTTTTGCAATCTAGTCAGTCCCTGCAGAAGGGCTAGAGCCAACTACACTACTGGTCTTGTTAGACTACATAAGGCACCAGCTGGCTTGAGCACCTTGCTGAGACAACACCCTCCCATTGTCCTAGTAAGAAAGAGGTCCAGCCAGCAGAACCCACTTGGAGCTATCTGAGATCCTACTTTACTTCTGCCTTAATCTTGCTACCGCTTCCCTTGTGAGGTTCGACAGACCACAGAACAGGACAGTTATTGTGATAGTTGCTGTATTCTGTACTGTCTGTAAAAGTGTAAGCAATAAAACTATATAATTTTGCCTGTTCTTTCTAGTTTTGAAATGGAAGTTTGTGTTGACCATACAGTCAATTTAAATTATCTGACTTCACTTTTGGAGACTATGCATCTACCCTGTGTGTCTAACTGACAACATTTCTGACTGGCCTACATTCCAAATTTGAAGTCTTAAAAAAACAGCAGCAACTAAAAGTAAAAATGAAGAGCACATTTCTTGAAGTCTGTGCATATTGACCAGATAATATGCATATTGATCAGGCAAGGCACACAATTCTGCCAACATATGAACATACTCAATGTGTTTTGGAGCTTATGCATGTTTCCTGGAAAATGTACAAAATGCAATGATATAGTGATGTTTCATATGATTGAAGGATATGCATTTCGTCTCAAGAATGTACAAAGTTCCCTCTTCATGGAAAGATTACGCACACATTCTCCATAAGGTGTGGTGAATGGGTTGTGCATATTAGCTATTCATCTTGCATTATCCTTTATATGGATAATCTATCAGCATGTGCACATTCAAAGTTTCTTCAGTAGCACTTTCAGCATTAACCATTATTTGGTCTAGAAACAAATTTACAAAACCAATGAGAATTGCATGGGAGAGTCCACTAGAAACAGCTACTAGAATTTAAGAAATCATCATTCTTTCCATAAGACTATAGTTGCTCCCCTGGGCTGGTGAGAAATACATTGAAATGAATAGAAAGAAAGTGCATTCAGCACCTCCTGAGTAGGTATTTAGTGAAATACTAAGCAAAATAATGTACAAAATCCATACAAGGTAGTGTGTTGAAATGATCTACAGGAATGTCAGAAGGCTTCCATGGCAGCATGTTTACCCCATCTGTATTTATCATGATCCATATGTGCTATGGTCAAGGTTAATAAGCTACATGAAGTTGTAAGAATATATGACTTTATGTATACATGAGAAGCATTTATATCTTTATGTTCAAATGAAAAGACTTCCAGATAAATAAAAAAAAAAGACAATTCCTGTCCTCAGTCTTATAGTCTAAAATAAAAGTAGGAAACCTCTGGCCCACAGGACCGTGAATGATGCCCTCCTCCCCAAGTCCACCTGCCTAAAGCTAGCAGGGAGAAGAATCCCAGCTCTTATCACCTGTTGCTTATTAATGGTAATAGTGAAGATTCTTCCGCCAGCTTCCTTCACTTGCCTGGTGTCCTCTCCAATGCAGGAACATTCACTCTGGCAGAGGAGGTTACTCTGACCAAGGTACAAGCTGCAGGAGAGCAATTCCCACTGGTCTCTGAACCAGAAACATATCTTTGCAGACCATTGATGACATCTGGTCTGAGAAGAACTGGATGGTAGGTCATTCACCATCCCAGATCTATTGTCCAGTCTTATATATAATGACACAAAAGGAAAGAGATAGAGGGAGGAAAAAGGAAGAGAGACCTCAGACAGCTTATTCTTAAATATATTCAGCTCTTATAATGACCATGATGTGGCATCTTACCCATCTGTCCATCTTACCAGTTTTCAACATGCTGTAGGGACTTCAATTGAGTTTTAATGGTTCAAAATAAATGGGTTATAATTTGATATTTACAGGGGTGAACTCTTCCAAGGTAGTTTGGTTTCTAATATTCCAGTGGTCCCTGAATGTATGCCTTTATTCATCCAACCCTACCATGAGAATAAATTGCAGCCATTCACATATATGGTAGAAAGTAAATTGCTGAATTTAAGGACAGTGGCTTAATGCCAGCTTACAAGCACCACAGGAAATGCCCTTCCTGAAAACAGTTCCAGGTGTAGAAAGGACAACATGCTGTTCCCACTTCCACTGTTCCCAGCACACACACATAAGCCAGGAGCAAACTGGGCTTGAAAGAAGAGGAGACAGTACCGTTATCCATAACTTCCATCCCCTGTTCCCATCACTAGCCAATCTGAGTGGTGAAATTGCTTTTTAATCCCAGAAATGGCTACTAGCCCAGCCCTGAATGTACGCCAAACCTAACCACTGAGTTTGCCTGAGAATGTGACATTAGCATGTTTCCAGACAAGCTAACAAGCTGATTAGTATGCCCCAACTGTAATTACCACACTGAAAAGTAGACCGCATGTATAAAGCCACTATAATAGCTGATAGAGGGAAAATGATACACCTTAACAGATTAGAAAGCAATGAGCAGGTGAGCAATTAAGTGAGTAACCTGTGGAGAGGGCACAGCAGGCAGAGGAGAAGGCAATTATCGCCCTCTTCAATTTCACTAACTACAAATGCCCCTTGCAAATGTGACACAAGGACTGAAAAAAAAAAGGGCTGAGGCATTCACTTGAACATATTTAGTAATTCTACCAAAGGTACACAAAAACAACAGCATTAGGCCATACTAACATGCAAGGAAATATGATGCAAATACTAATAAACCTTTAGTTTTGAGTATCTGGTTAAGACCCAAAGAAAAGCATTATATTTGCATAAATACATAAAAATTGCATCATTGCTAGTTACTACTGTTCTTAATATGCCAAAATCCATATTAGGCCAACTGGAATACAGATTCCTTCATTGGTGGAAACAAAGTAGCTGATTTTTACATCAACCAAACTAATGGTGATATCAGATGATATTCTACAGAAAACAAAAATTATCTTTGCACTTTACTATTAAACTGGAAGTGCCTTGAACATTTCAGAAAGAAAATTCACAACTCATGTAGGAAAATTCATCTTATTCAGGTAGCCCTAAAGGGTTCACACGTCTATGATAAACCCCACAAAATATCACAGAACACACTATAATTATGGTGAAGGAAGAAGTCACTCTGTAGCAACCTTCTTCATACTGAACTTTCCAGCTGTATGATACATGTAATATTCTTAGTGCGGGACACAGGTAAAGGAAGCAGGCAATTGGTGATTCTTTGAAGTAGCCCAAACAGTTGAATATTGCCATTGAAAGAGGGAATTATTTTAGCCCATCAACTGATTACAAATAGCTAAGTTAAAAAGAGACATCTTATCCTCCTAACATCTGCTAGTTCTCCTCTCCACATCATTACAAACCAGTGCTTTCTTCAAATATCCACATTAGCAGTTTAGTAAACATGTAATTCTGCCATCTTCTGCTTTTGCTCAAGGGATTATTTGCTGTACAGTTTGTAACTAAAAGTAACAAAAGTTTGTAACTTTTAAAGGTGGCAAGTTTAAAATACAGATTGGACAGTGATACTAATTTGCAATTCAAAGGCTGGGTTGCCTTTTTGCCTGTGTATGGGGACAGGAGGTTATGGTTTTCAAAGTAAGTTTGCTTTTTATTTTTTTATTCCTTTTGAGGTAGCAGTGATATGCTCAGTACTAAGTTGAAAGTATTCTTTGCTTATTATGCCTAGTCAATATTTTTTAATTGTTTTTGAAAAGCTGAATGAAATGCTACCTCAATTTGCAATATGTTTTAAATGTCATAGTCTGCCACAAAGTGTTATGGCTATTATGATAAAGTATTCTTCTATTTTTATCTTAGAAGTGCGAAGCTAAATAACCATTTAGAAGCTGCTATACATGAGGCCATGAGTGAACTCGACAAAATGTCTGGGAATGTAAGTATTTAGTGCAGAATATTTTTAAAGACAAAATCTCAGTGCTACACATTTTGCAACTGAAATTAAAAATTTTGTCCTAAAATTAGAAGTTATCATTCTGAAGACAGTAAGACTAAGGAGAGTCAAAAGCAGGAGGAGGAAAGAAAGCCCAGCTATGAGATTTATTGATTCCTTAAGGAAGGCGACAGTCTTAAGTTTACAAGGGCTGAGCAGGGCTGTCAAGGACAGGGCACTTTGGAGTGCTTGCTTCATAGGATCTCCATCAGGTGGAGACAATTTGGCAAAACAGAACAAGAGTTATCTTTTGAAGATGCTCTGATGACCAGGTACTACTGTAGTTTCTACCACCCCTGAAACTGAACTTTTGTGATAGCATCTGTTAGAACTTGAACAGACCTAATGCTAAGGTCATTATAGTCCAGTGCTTGTCCAATCTACTCTGAAGTAAGTCCCACTGAATTTAATACTAAGTGCAGATAAAGACCTTCATCAGGATAGCCAGTTCCATTCTGGTTGCATACAGAATATTGGTTGCAAACCAAACAGTATTCTTAGTCCTTCATTATAAATGTGCATTAACCCCTTTTTACTAACTCAGAATTCTGTGCTTGGGACAAGTAAGATTTCATCTAAATAGGGGAAGAGCTAGAAGAGGAGAAATAAGTGCAAATTAAGTGCAAATTTAAGATGAACATAACAAAGCAATAGTACTGGTTATCCACTATCTCAGTACCCTTTTTCAAAAACCTTCGTTATATTTGCATGATATCTGTCATTCAGTTATCAGTAAACTTGGTGATTTCAGACCCAAGTTAAATGTATCTAATATTTTTCTAAGCTCCACAAAGCCAGGAAATAGGAAGCTGAAGCAAATGCTTTAGCAGACATGCCCTGTGATCAGTGATGACATGCAATTCCCCGGGTTTGCTTACAGTTTAGCTTCCATGTAACCACAGTTTTCCTGGGTCATACAGGCCCAGAGCAGATGAGGTAGAGAGAATGCCTGGAATCGGTGTAGGTGCCTCACATTGAAACTTCTGAGATTTACTTCTTCCTAGAGGGAACACCTTCCAGTAGTGGGTCCCAATCCAGCATGCTCCCCACGCCCCAGCCCTCCCTTCAGCAAAGTTCAGAGGGAGGTTAGATGCAGGGGGAATGAAGGTGGACCTTTAAATAGGAGCACCAAGACCAGTGTGCTACTGTTCTGCAGCGGCAGCAGTGGATAGGGAAGATATGCCAGGAACGTGGAAGCAGGCTGGCAGCTACATTTCTTTGCTTGGTCAGTCAGGAAAACTGAAAATTGTAAACCCCTGAGGCTGATAGTGTTCTGTTATTTGAATGGAAGCGTGTGTGACCTTGCACTTTGTTGATGTAAACTGATAAAAGGAAGATGCGTTTAGAGAACAAGTACAGGAGTGTCTAAGAGAATGAGTTGTGAGCAGGAAGGGACTGCACATCGGCCATAAAATCTTTAGGTAGCTTTGGGCAAGTTGCCATTGCTTATTTTTCCCACCTCTGATATGGAAAATAATATTGCCCTGTGCATGCAGAAGTATTATTCTACCTCTCCGAGGAGGGGAAGCCCTTGATTTCACCTTTATGCGGTTCCTGTATGCCGTATCAAACACAGCCTGGAGGTTCTGCCAGTCCTGTGAAACAGCTTTTCTAGGGGTTGCAGCTGGCAGAAGGACCCAAGGCCAGTTCCACGAGCTTCGATCCGCAGAATTCTTTTACAAGGCCCAAGCCAGTTATGATGTCTCATTTTATAAGGTTGTTATATGGTTTACTGAGACAATATATGCACAATGCTTTCAACAAGATGGTGAAATGCTGTATACATACCAACTGGTTAAGAGCGGGGGTCTAGAACTCAGGTGATCAGTCCCCACTCAGCAGCGGAGCCAACTGGGTGACTTTGGGCTAGTTACAGACTCTCAGCCCAACCTACCTCACAGGATGGTTGTTGGGGAGGGAGATGGAGAGCAGCAGCACAGTGACGTTAGCAGCTTCGCTTTCTTTAAAACAAGGAGAATATGGGATATAAATTTAATAAACAAGTATTTTATTAAATTCTTTCAACTTTTTCATTATTAATTCTTACTGTGTTTTTTTTTTTTTTTTTTCAGGTGCACCAAATTCCACAGGGAGACAGACAGCTGAAACCTCCAAAGCCCAAGAGGAGGAAGATCTCTAGATAACAATGAATGTCTTTGTTACTGGTCCAGTACTTAAATAAACAAACATGCACATATATATGTATGTATGTACGTATTATCAATATATATATATATATATATATATATATATATATATATATTGATAATATCAGGATGGATAGAGTTCATCACCACAGGGTGCTAAACAAAACAGTGGTACAGTATTCTTATTGGTAAAGAGAGTGAATCCAGATCTTCAAAAGATTACAGTGTGTCCATAAAATCCTTTTTTCTATAATACTAGAATTGTGATTATAAGATTATAGTCCAGATGTTCCTGCAAAATTTTCATTATGTATATAGATAAAAACATAATTTCATGACGATATCTGAAATGTAAATAATGTACAATATTGTCATGTACAAGCGTACCTAATGCACACTTTATCTTTTATTGTACAAAAAAAATAGTGTACAAAATTCTTTGGTTTCTATTGAGTACACATACAAGAGACTACCAGTGTAAAGTGATAAATAAAAATACAGCCTAAATGCTTTTATATAATAATGTAAAAGATGCTGTTTTTGTATTTAACAGCAGTGGAAAGGCATGATTATGTAATACCTTAATTATGGCATAACACTTCTCGCCACTGAGTGTTCATTTATAGTGTCTGTTTGGAGTGAACCTTGCCTGGAAGTACTGTACTCCATCTCAGGTCCCTGTGGGAGAGTGCAGCCTTGCAGATTCCTAAAGGGATGTGGGATCACAGGTCAAATTAAGAAGTCAAAATCTGCAACTACTTGTTGCATTTTTTAATTTGCCTTAGTTATAAAGTAGAGTACTGTAGTTTTTTTATTAAAATATTTAGATAGAATATTTTAGTCAGCTATTGCTTTAATAGTTTCATAGCCACCTGTGTTAAAAGCAGACTCACCTTATACCACCATTTATTTTGAATCCCTTTAAAGTCTAAATTGGCTAGTCCAGTTTGCTGAAGCAGAGAATGCAATTCGTTTTAACATATGAGAGCAACAGCCCAGTTTAAAGAACTGTTCTCATTGCTAACTTGCTAACCATCAGACTGTACAATATAGCAAAAAGGTGTTCCTTAAAGGAAAGGGGTTCAGTTACCAGTTGTGCTTGGGTGTTTTTATTCAGTTCAGTAGGGCTGTATCAGCATAAGCGGTTACTGAATTGTCTCGCCTACCAATATGGACATCATCACCCACATTCATATTCTAGAGGTGAAAGGTGGCTTACTAAACTACTAGCAGCACTGGCCTGGATCCAAAGAACTGCACAATTATTTCTGTGCATCCAAACATTTTGTGTATGCATGTGTATGTTCCTGAAATAGAAATCGCCCTCTCCCCTGTGTGAAGGGGACAAACTACTTTTGAAGCAGAGGGGATTTCCAGCAACACTATCTGATAAAGAATGGGGTCTCTTATCAAAGGGGGTTGGTCAAAAATCCTAGCAAACACACTGAAATCTTTGGGTTATAGCTCTTTGGATCCCAGCCACTGATATTATCAGTATTATGTAACATATCAGATTTATTTTATTTAATAAGAATTATTTATACCATTAAGAGATTCTTATATATAAATATATATATATGTTAATGTGGCAGAAATGTGCAGGTTGAATCTATTAACCAGATTATTTATGTTATGTTAAGTTTGAAAGAAATGTGAAACATGTATGTTAGAAAGATGATCATACACTACAGATCCGCAAACCTAAAGCTGTGAGCCATTCTCAGAATACCAGTATCTTTAAGAAAAAATGCAGTGCAGTGTCATTTTCAGTGTTGGTAGTGCATATGGTGGCAATGCCCCCTCTTCAGGCATCCCCAAACTCAGTTAACCATGCCTGGGCCCAAGATGGAGTCCTTAGGACCACCTACTACCTCTTCATCTGGGAGCCACCATTTTGTTTCATCCTGGAATTTCATTCCTTATAATCACCTAGTTACCTCTTCCTAGCAAAGACTGCTGGTGGTCAGCATCATCCAAGACTGATAACCAAAACCTAGTGCTTACACAAGGAATACTCATTCCCTGCCCAGTTCACCTTCTCAGGGCCCAAGCTCCATTTCCCATGTGATAAGAACAGCACAACCAGCCCTAGTGGACAAGAGATTTGTGGAAGGACATTCCCATAGTTGGGTCTCCTGTGCACATAGCGCTACCAGTGGGCTGGGTAACCTGCTCTTATCTCATGCTGGCAGCTCTTACTCCTTTTTCCACAACCCAACCTGATGGAATGCAATTAGCTACACTAAGCTACAGTGGCCTGGAGACAGGAACCCTTCCTTCTGCTGGGTAGGTTCATTTTGTCTTTTGTGTAATGGCGGGATAGCCTGCTACAATCCTACATGAAAACTCGTGTGAAGTGATCTTTTTGTGTAGTTTAGTTAGCACTCTCTCTCTCTCTCTCTCTCTCTCCCTCTCTCTCTCTCTTGGTTGCAAGTTGATGTGTTTGTTACATTTAATGAGTTAATGTTGTCCATTTTTCGTATCAGCCTGCTTTCTGCTCTTGTCAAACAGATGTTTCTATTCATGAATACTCATGTGTGTGTGTGCGTGCGTGCGTGTGTCTGGGTGGGTGGATGTGTGTTTATATTTAGTTGGGTTTTTTTAAGTTTGCTTTTTTGTCCCTAAAACTGAATTTGTATTGACCAACCCTTATTTTGACATTTTTATCTAATTAGGTTTGTACTTTACATTGGTAGACTATGTAAAGTATTTTTGTGCACTTGATTTCATTGGTTAATATTGGCATTGATGTGGGTGATAGGAGTAGTTTGTTTTGGTCCATACAGATTTTTTCCCTCCTTTTTAGAGTTTTTATGGTTTTATGTAAGCAGTTAATGTAAATATTGTGAGCATTACAGGTCATGCAGTGTTGTAACATTTTTAAAAATGTTGCACCTACTTTACAATTAAAAAGCTGGTCACTCGTACTTGAATTTTGCCCATAGAGCCATTTCTTTCTCTTTGCATTAATGCCTAAATTACTTTTTTTTAATCAAGGCCCAACCCTTCTTTCTATTCTTATTTTTTGTTTGTTTGTTTAACAAATCTATATTTTTCTAAAAGAAGATTTTAACATTTTAAAAATTTTTTGCCAACTTTCTAACTTATGATGAGATACTCCTATATTTAGAGAGTAAAAATGCCCTCATTTTGGAAAGTGGAATAATTGAATTCTGTAACTTGGCACAAGGACAGAAATTATGTGGGACAATGAAGCTGGGACCCAGAAGATGAATTAGCCTCTCATTAGATCAATTAGTGGGTGTTTGTGTGGTGTTTTGAGGATATAAAATGATAACTATCCTCATGTGTCTATTTATTTATTTATTCTTGGTGGGTTGTGATAAAATTATATAAAAATCAAAGGAATTATTCTTTTTTCTATCATGGAGCTTTATGAACACCATTTCTATTTATGAAAAGGTTTTCATTCTGATAACCACGTTTTAGTTCCTATAACCAATTATTCAGACTGAAAATTATTGCTGGCACTAGCTCTAATATCCAAAGGATTGAAAATAATACATGTCCCATATCAGTTATGGCCACAGCCTAAGTTTGGAATTTTGTTCATAGTGTTATATTTAAATTTACCAATGCCAACTTTCTTAATAATTCAATATTATTGTGGATCCCTGAATTTAATGGTTTAAAGTATCATGGTGGACTGAATTACCTTTTATTAGCTACAGTTTGTATTTTGCTACATAGGGTTTTTAATATGAATATTCCAGAAGAGCAGTAGCATAATAATGCTTTTCTATTTTAAAAGAACCCCATTCTAGTCTTACTAAGAGTTAGATTTTTTAAAAAAAATATCAGTTTTGTAAAATTTGATAAAAATTGTCAATATTATGATTAAATCACACAAAAAACCTCACTGTGATGGTCTCTTCCGGAAGGGTTGCACAACACCACTCTGGGAGGGGGTACATGTCCCTGATCTAAAATGGGATGTATGTTGTATTATTAAATAACCATAAAAATAATGCTGAGTTAAATACATAAATCTAAGATAAGATGGTTATGAGAGAAAACTGTGATACAGTGTTCAGTTTACATGTTCTGCCCAGATTTTAATACTGATGGCAACTTGCAAAATACTGGACAGTATCCAGTGCTGCCCACACACCATTGGGACCATTACTAGCCAAATGGGAAGCTAGCAGTTCCTAAAGCAACCAGAAGTGAGCTGAAATACTCTTTTTCCAAGCAGGACAAATCGGCAGAGCTCAGAGAACAGAGTTTTGCCAACCGGTACTGGTCAGAAACTAGTATTTTAGCCCATTTCTGGAATTGCTGCTTGCACAATAGAATGAGTGGAAACACAGAAGCAATATTGGATGCCTCCCACTGTATCCAACAGGTCCATTTTGAGATAAGATTGCCTATTTGGTTGTATACTCTGCACAGGCCATGTGTTCTTTATTTGTAGAATTGCTCCTCAGTTAATTTACTGCCTGTGTGGGACTTACACCTGTGAAGATCAAATTGTTCTGAAAATGAGCCGATATCCTAGAAATTTATAAGTAAGTGTATGCAATCAGTTGCATCCTACACATCCTTTATGAACCTGGTGCTGTGCAAAAGTAATCATAATTAGTGGAGTTGTCCAACAAACATAAGTGACCAAGTGAGATGAATGATCCATCTAGTTTAACAAATGTATTTGGAAGCTCTCTGAGTTCTTGATGGATATTTCTCTTTATGCCCACTCTCCAGCTATCCAATAATTGGACATATTATCTGTAGATACTCTAGTCTTTGCAGTTATAAAAAAAATAGCCTTTCACAAACCTCTCCTCTATGAGTTAGTCAATACTTTTCTGAAAAGCCATCTATGCCAACAGCCAGTACAGCATCACTCACAAATGATGTCATGACAAATACTTATGTACTACTGGAAATACTCAATTGTTTATCCTGAAGTAGGTTCACTGGATGACCAGATAGTCTAGTGTTTTGAAAATCTAGGCTAACTGTAGAATTGACAAAATTATGTTAAATGAATATTTCTCAATCTTGATCTCTTTGGGTAACACATCCCACATAAGAGTCAAAGTCCCTTCCAATCCTAATAAATTTTCTAAGAGTCTAAATAACCAAAAAGTCCTATCTCATCGCCTCCCTAATACTTGTTATATCCTCTTCCAAGTCACTAGCATCACTCACAGAGAAACAGGATGGCTTCTAAAGGTAAAATTAAAGCACTTGGCTATTTTTCTGTTGTTCTCTAATAGATACACCGAATTAAAATTACACAGGTGGAAAAAACAGGAGAATGAAGACCAGCCATCATTCCTCTGAAGTCAAATGAAATTCATGGTAAAAGGAAAAGAGAAGATATGTTTTATTGGCTGAATTTTGTTGTAATCCCCAAGCTTAATCCAATGCTTTTTCAACTTTATGGAGCAATTTATGAGATAAAAAGCAGTAAAGAGGCCAGCAATAAAATGTTGGTTAAAGGAAGCCACAAGTGCATAACTTTTCCTAAGATTCATATTCAAGGATATGCATCTCAACAACTGTAGATCCCAATGCTAAAGAACAGAAAGAAAAGCATACCAGTAATTGATTTCAGTATCACAAATGTAAAGGGTCTAGTCCTAATACCTTTGTTTTTTAAAAATAGGAATGTGCTCTGTATCATTCACTTTGGAGTGAAATGTTGGAAATGTCAGAGATGTTCCAACAGTGAAATGAAAGAAGAAACCCAGTCACACATCAGCTTGGCATACCTTGAATTGAGAGCAAGCTGATTGTGTCCTGTGGTAGAGGAAATTTTGGAACTACTAGCATAAATAAATTTTTGTTTTAATCTAGGGGTATTCTAATACTAGAATTAATCAGAAATGCACGTTCAGACCATTACAGCCCAAGATCATCCCAATGCTTCATTAAATCACTGAATGATGTTAAAATAACTGCAGGTAAGTTTATATCCTGATAGATTATAATACTATTGTTAACTGTCTAAAGAGACTTCACTGATGTTGAATTGAAGAAATTCCTACTTGGCTTGCCTGTTAGTTTCTACCTGCCAGCATCCCAGCCCAACTTTCTAACTTCCATTTCAGTACAAACTGAATGGCTACATGGAACCATTTTTTGCAGGGTGGGGGGTGGCTAGTCAACAGTGACCAAAATAATACTGAATGCAGGTGCCTTCCCATTGACTCCACCCTAGCGATTGACTCTACTGGGATAATTCAGTCTGAGGCCTTCTGCGTAGACCCACTAGGCCTCCATAGTGGAAACTCATAGCATCAAAAACATAATCCTTCCAGTGCCATGCTTTTAACATAGCAAGAACAGCCTGTGACTGTCCTTTTGGTAGCACCATTAATCTTATTAGCTAATGTTACAAGGGTTTTGTCATGACCCTGGATGTGAAGAATCAATGTCTTCCCAAAGAAGACTCCAAATGTTGTGAGAGGCTGGCCATTCCACTCCAGGAAGGATGCTCAGGAACTCTGGCTCATCCTGAAGAGCTAAGTAATCTATCCTCATCAACCTTAGCCTCCACGAACAACTCTTCAAATCTCTGCCCAGGTCCCTCAGACATGTAGGAGCTAAGGCTACAGAAATTAGCAGGGGGTCTATAAAGTCGGTACCCAGTGGGAGAGGGTGTCTCGGAGAGAGCTGAGCTGAGCAGCCTGCTTAAGCCCTCACTCGCTGCCAGTCCCTTGCTGGACAACAGCTTCTTTCATGAGGGACTGTCCCAGCCTAGCTGCTTCAGCATACTGCTGTCCTAGGTGCTATTCGCCTCTGCTTTCTCTACTTCTATATTTTGCATAATTGCTGACCAGCTTCCTGCTGCCAAAGCCTCCTCACATACCTAAGTGACTGGACACTTTCCCTGGGGCCAAATCTCTGCCAGGATTGGATTTCTTTTATTTCTTTTCCCTACAGATTCCAAGTTTAGAGC